CCATGCGAACGCTGAGCAAGCTGCAGAACTCCAAGGTCAGACAGCCGCTGCGGGAATTCTGGCCCACGCAATGGGTGAAAGTGTGGAGAAGGTACATGACCCACGACTATCACAAGGGCAAGAGACAAGGGTTCAAGAAGACCGCAAAGCCGCGGTGGATTGGACCTGGGCGTGTGCTTTTCCAAGAAGTGTTGGTGGACCAGGAGGCGGATGATGAACGCAGACACATTGTCTGGGTGGCCATTGGGAGCACGATCATGCGGTGCTCGGTTCATTCTGTGCGACCCTTGACAGAAGTGGAGCAAGCCGTCGAGGAGATGCGGAATCAGACCAACCCCATGGAGTGGAAGAGCCTCACGGACCTGATACCATCCAAGGAGTATGTCGATGTCATTCATGAGGAGCCGGACGAGAACGATGAGGAGAAGGTTGATTTGCCAACACAGCCAGACGCTTCGACAATCAAGCCGGTGACCTCGCGGCGACTACGCTTCAAACAACCGGAGCCGACGACATCCGTTGAGGACAAGCAGCAGTCTATGGACATCAACGACTACCAGCCAAGGTCAGCGCAAGTGGATGTAGATGCGGACCTCGAGGAGGATGACCTTGGGATTGGCGATGGGAGAACCTTCTCTGTTGGTGGGTCGTCGTCTGCCAGACCGTTGTTGAAGAGCTCTACATCACGAGCGTCGGAGTCGGTAGCGGAAGAGCCAGGAGAGAAACGGCAGAAGGTCTCGCACGGTGAGGACGACAGCGAGAGTCCGGACATGAAGGACGAAGAGGCTATGCACGCGGAATTCTTTGACGCGTTGGATGAGGTCAACGAGGGCTACGTCATGGAGCTGGACTTGGATTTTCAGTCACACCGGGATCAGAAGAACTTCATACGCAATCCGGTCAACTATCTGGTCAAGAAGATGAGGGATACGGAGGTGAACTACCGGTATCTCAGTGAGGAGGACAAGCAGTTGTTTGACCGGGCCAAGTCCAAGGAGGTGAAGAGTTTCCTGGCCCAGGAAGCAGTACGGAAGTGCCTCAGCAAGGCAGAGGAGGATGAAGCTCGCCAATCCGGCAGAGTGTTGGGATGCCGCTGGGTGCTGACTTGGAAGATCATTCCACCGGAGGAGCAAGAGGAAGCGAAGAAGGCCTTGGCGGAAAGTTCCGCAACCACGACCGTGACGAAGGACGCGACAAAGAAGGCAAAGGCCCGGATTGTTCTCCTTGGATTTCAGCATCCTGATCTTCTTCAAGAAGGACATAAGACGGCATCTCCGGTGCAGTCGACGTTGGCACGTTATCTGACCTTCCAGCTGGTGGCCCAGAACAAATGGGATCTGGAGGGATTGGATTTGTCGACGGCGTTCTTACAGACATCCAAGACCATGGAGAAGGAGCGGCTGTGGACTACTGGCACTCCCGAGCTCAAGGAGGCGTTGGGGGTGGACAACAATGGATTGCTGCGGTTGCTGAAGGACATCTACGGGAGCTCTACGGCCCCACGGAATCTGTGGAAGGAGCTCGACAGTGAGCTGTCCAAGCTGGGTGGCATCCGCATCTGGGGAGACTCGTGTCTGTGGGTCTGGATCGAGGAGAATCAGAATCCGAGGAATCAATGGGATCGCTTCAAGACCATTGGCTTCATGGGTGGCCATGTGGACGATTTCAACAGAGGAGGCGACCTGAAGAATGGCAAGTGGCTGGAGATCCGCAAGACCATTGATGAGAAATTCAAGTGGGGTACGATCAGACTCAACTCCTACAGGCACATCGGCGTGGATGTGAACGTGATTGACAAGGGCGATGAGTTCTTTGTGGAGTTGGAGCAGACCCACTATGCGGAGACGTTGGAGGACCTGGCCATTGACTCAAAGCGGCTTCGATCTTCGGGAGATATGACTGCACGAGAAGTGTCTATGTGCCGCGGTGCTCTGGGGGCATTACAGTGGTTAGCTGTGCAAAGCGCTCCACTTATTTGCGCGAGATGCAACTTGCTCCTGACGGACCTCAGTGAACAACCAACGTTAGCCACTGCGAAGGAAGTGCAGGACTTGATCAAGGAGGCGCGGACAATGACGTCTACCACGTTGCGGTTTCATCACTTCAACGACGTGGAGCATTGGCAAGACATGACAGTCATTGGCATGGCGGATCAGGCGCACGCGAACAGGCCCAAGGGTGAGTCCACTGGTGGCCTGCTGGTGCTGATGGGCGGCAAGGGCATTCGCGAAGGAAAGACTTCCACGTTGTCTTTGGTGATGTGGAGGACTTGGAAGTTGCGGCGAGTGGCCATTTCGTCAAATGATGGCGAGATTCAGTCCATCCTGGAGGGCGAGGATCACGCCTATCGGGTGAGATTGATGTGGGCGCAGCTGAATGGTTGCTGTGGCTTCAATCAGTCTGTGGACATCCTGGAGGTGGCGGATTCCATGGTGGCGACCATCCCCGGCTTGCTGGCCACGGACAGCAAGGGTGCCTTTGATGCGGTGGAGCTCAATGAGGGACCACTGTTGGGGTTGTCCAACATTCGGGCAGCGCTTCAGGCGTATCAGTTGCGCCAGCAGATGCAGAAGGTTGGCACCAAGCTCCTTTGGCTGGCTAGCGATTGGAACCTCGCGGATTGCATGACGAAGAAAAACAAGACAGCGAGACAGTCGATGATCCAGTTCCTCAACACATGGATCTGGCAGCTGAAGTTTGATCCGAACTTCATCGTGAGCGCCAAGAAGAATGCGAAGGCTGGCAACTCCGCCATGGACCACATGCGCAAGGGCTCCGGCAAGGCCAACTGAGGCACTGGGCAACTTTTCTTTTGGGCTGGTGCGATAGACCATTTTGGTTTGCCCAGACCACAGTACAGACGCACGTGCATCGTGAACCCTTTCGGCTTTGCCAGGGAGGGCCCTCTCTTTAGCAGCCAAACCGATGGCGACAAGCCATGACGCGTTTCCTTGAGGAGGAAAACTAAGGTGTGTAGCCGCTGAGGGCGGCTGTTGCAGTTTCCCTTGAAATCACCAAATGGGTACCCTCAGAAAAAGACGCACCTATACGTCCAAAACCTTAAAACAACTAGACCACGGTTGGCCCGAAAGCATAACATCGCAAGCGAGGTCGGCCCAACGCTGCAGGATGCGTTCTTTTTCCCTCCACGAAGCATTTGTGAAGCAAGCGCGGGACAGCACCAGGCAAGGTGCTCTGCGCAAACTGGTCGGTGCAAGTTGGTCTGCGCAAGTTGCTCTACGCAAGTTGCACTGTGCAAGTTGCTCTGCGCAAGTTGCTCCGCGCAAGTTGCTCCGGCAAGTTGGCCCCTGCAAGTGGCTCCCTGCAAGTTGCTCTGTGCAAATTGCGCTCCCTGCAAGTTGCTCTGTGCAAGCTGCTCTGTGTAAGTTGCTCTGTGCAAGTTGCTCTGCGTAAGTTGCTCTGCGCAAGTTGCTCTAGGCAAGGCGCTTTGCGCACACTGGTCGGTGCAAGTTGGTCTGCGCAAGTTGGTCTGCGCAAGTTGCAAGTTGCTTTAAAATGCAAGTTGCATCTTGCGACGCCCGCCCGCGGACCAGGGAGGAATCGAACCCGCGACCCACCGGTTCCGGGAGCAGGCGCGCGAACCACGAGACAACTCCCGAGGACCAGTTCGAACAACAAAAGTCGCAAAAAACCTTGAGTTTTTGCACCTCGACCACGCCGATTCCCGCAGAGGGTTGCGCGCACCGCAGAAATCGCAAAAAACCATGGGTTTTTGCACCTCGACCACGCCGATCCCCGCAGAGGGTCGCGCGGGAACTTTAGAAATCGCAAAAAACCATGGGTTTTTGCACCTCGACCACGCCGATCCCCGCAGAGGGTCGCGCGGGAACTTTAGAAATCGCAAAAAACCATGGGTTTTTGCACCTCGACCACGCCGATCCCCGCAGAGGGTCGCGCGGGAACTTTAGAAATCGCAAAAAACCATGGGTTTTTGCACCTCGACCACGCCGATCCCCGCAGAGGGTCGCGCGAGCACCGCAGAAATCGCAAAAAACCATGGGTTTTTGCACCTCGACCACGCCGATCCCCGCAGAGGGTCGATTTTCGTAGTGTCGCCCTAAGAAGAGAAACCAAGTCAATTGCACTTGGCTCCTTGCACTTGCAACTTGCTCCTTGCACTTGCAACTTGCACTTGACTCCTGCACTTGCAACTTGCACTTGGCTCCTTGCAACTTGCACTTGACTCCCTTGCTAGCGATGACTCCTTGCAATGACTCCTTGCAATGACTCCAATTGCAATGACTCCAATTGCAATGACTCCTTGCAATGACTCCTTGCAATGACTCCTTGCAATGACTCCTTGCAATGACTCCTTGCAATGACTCCCAATGACTCCTTGCAATGACTCCTTGCAATGACTCCTTGCAATGACTCCTTGCAATGACTCCTTGCAATGACTCCTTGCAATGACTCCTTGCAATGACTCCTTGCAATGACTCCTTGCAATGACTCCTTGCAATGACTCCTTGCAATGACTCCTTGCAATGACTCCTTGCAATGACTCCTTGCAATGGCTCCTTGCAATGACTCCTTGCAATAACTCCTTGCAATGACTCCTTGCAATGACTCCTTGCAATGACTCCTTGCATTGACTTTCATGATGATAATTCCTTGCAATGACACCTTGTAATGACTCTCATGAGAACAACTCAAGTGAACCCAGCGGAAAAACCCTTCGCCATGCTTTCGGGAAAAACAGAAACAAGCAAAGGATCCCGCATCACGAGCTTGTTATACCAGTGAACCGGTGAGCTCAGCATGAAATAGGCAGAACAACACGTCTGGGGGGGACCAACAGGGTTCCCAATATTCCCCTTGTAGCATCACCCTACGAATTGGAAGCTCACGTTAAACGGCCCCCAAAAGGTTCCAAGGGTATAGCTGGGATCCCAAGATAATGGCAGAAATCCCAAGATTTGTGGGGCTCACAAAAATAACAACCACCCCCCGGGTGGGGGAAGACGCTTCGGATTCTTCGCCTTGTCGGAGATGTCCCCGGTCAGCACTCGCACCAGCGAGCCCGCGAGACTGCAGGCGGTCATGATCACCTCGTTTCTTGTTGGTAAATGAGAACACCGCCCTCTCCTATTGGAGGTTGACCTGATAAACCAGTTTCCTTTTGGATTTCAAAAGGTAGACCTCAATAGTAGGTCGTAAGCCACTTTCCTTTTGGCTTTCTACCTACAAAACCGGAGAACTGGAACTAGGGGCTTCCCTCTAACAGGTGGTTTGGAGTGGTGAGGCTTTCAACCCCGGATTCTTGCATTGCAGGTACATGGGACACCACCCAACATCTGCCGCCAATCCAAACCAACATCTGACGCTGACCTGATGGCAGGTTTATCGTGGCTTTTCTCTTTGTTGTTCCAACCTGTGACACGTGACACGCCCAGAAACTACCCAACACTGCATGCGTTCTTGAGCCTCGGCGTCATTTGGTTCAAAGCTCACCAATAAACTTTGAACTGGCCCTTCCAAGGGTGCTGTTTGACACCACCATTCACGGGGACAGTTAGCTGGAACCCCATGATTTGCTTTGCCTCCATCTGTTGGGCAGGTGATTCCCTCAGACCTGACGACGGCCTGCGTAACTGTCTGAGCCACATAAATGATGAAGAAAGTTGTACCAGAAAAGCATGCCGACTGAACAAATCTTGGGTCATGAACTTCGGCCGGTATCAAGTCACTGCCACATAAATCCACCCAAGTCACCCCAAATGACCTTGACTCAAAACGGTCGCAGATTATTAATAATATTGACCATATAGCTTTCAGAATAACGTTTTCGCTTGCCCGGGTTCTCCTTGAGTCAAACACATGTGCAGACGTACGGCCCCGAAGATGGACCAAAGGACTGCCACAAAAAAACAACGGGCGAAGCGGAGCTCTTTTTTGGCCAAAGGTTGCGGGAGTGCAAACCATAAGCATGGTTAGTGTGCCAATTGAGCCACAACCAAAAACCAGGTCTGTCGGTTAAGGGGCAAACCCAACCATATATGCGCCTCTTTGCCCCAGGTCAACCCCGAAACTACCATAAATGGCAGCAAAAGAATGACCGTTGAGTAGGAAGGAAACCCCTCCAGACATCTGGGCAAACCACTAGAACTCACAAATTGGAAAAAAGAGTTCCCCAAGCAAGAACCCCCACCTTGGACTGAGTCACTACCGAAGAGGCAGTCATCATCGTCTCTGACATCCGAGCTGGCTCAGGGATCAAATAGTTCCACACAAAGACGCCGAAGATGTATGCAAGCATATCCTCACTAAGAACCATTCAGAACCTTGAAAAAACGATGGTTACAGCATGGTTGTGGGAAAACAGCCCTTTGTGTTGCACCAAAGTGGGTCATTGTTGTGACTTTCTCTTTGCACTGGGGGTTCCCTTGGAATTACGTGGCCAACCAACACCCAGCTGATCCGGAAGCATGGGTTACATACAGGAGAAGTCGAAACAAAAATGGTCCATTGGCCTAAGTCTCTGCGCCTGAGCCGTGATTTGCACTGAGAAATCCGCCGACCAAACCGAAGAGCCCAACGAGAAGAGTCAAAACCAGTGGCAGCTGCCGCCCGAAGAGTTGCCAGCCGCGACCATGTTGCAGTTGCTTTACCTGCAGGATCTGCCATGGGCTCGCATTCACCTTGGAACCATTTTGTAAAAAAAAAAAAACAGCTTCCTGAGCCTTCAAACATAGGGGGGTCATGACCCAAAAGAGTGATGTATACGCTTAAAGGGTCAGAGGGTCAGAAGCACACTGCGGGTTGCACAAAAGGTGCCAAACTTGTGAGGTTGCCTCACGCTCCGGCCGAGCAACATGTGGCACCTCGCCCTCGTTGCCCTCGCACTTTCGGCTGCTCAGCATCTTGTTATAAAAGAAGGCCATGGCAAAACAGGTGACGGTCGTGGTGAAACCTATCGTCACAGTTCTCTTGCCCAGCGGTCTCTCAAAGCCCAAGAGCATCCCCTGCACTCCACAAATAATGAAGGAGAAAATGAGCCAGGTGTGGCCTCGGTTGTTTGCCACGTGGGGACATGAGATTCTGCTTGCGGTGGTTCGCTGGGAAACATTCCAGCTCACCGCCAAGCTAAACCGATTACTCAGCCCAATCAAAGAAAAATAAGCTGTGGACATGGTCTTCTGTGATATCACCGGCTGCCACAGTTCAAGTGACCATTTGTTCACTCAACCGGGCAGTCGCGAAAGGTATCACACTGAGATCCGACCAACCTCCTTTCCTTGCAACCTCCCCCCAAATCTGACAATGCAACCGAGTAGATGCCGCTGACCCCTCCAATGCAGATACCTGGACCCCAAGCTCACTTTCTGCCTGGGTCGGCCAAAGCAAATCCAAACTGTTTGCTTACCACTGAAATTGTCTTCCCAAAAAGCGACCACAGTCCGGGAACTCTGGAAGTGATTAACCCTCGAACAGGACCCACTTGGTTCAAGTTCAGCTTCCCTCTAAACGGCGGTTTGGAGG